AAGTAATCTGACCAATAAAACTTTTTGATTTTTAACAGCTAACTCCCAAACGAGTCTGATCTGTTTATATCACCCCCCAGTAAGAAAAGTTAGTGTCCGTTGCAATACAGCCATTGGTTCTGGCATTGCTTGGTGGTGAAAGATGGACAGCAAGCATGCTGACATACAGTGGAGTGCTTGAAGACTTTATTACTCTGAGAGGAGAGAAGGAGATGTGATAAGACCTGGTCTTTCCCCAGGCTGATGATATAGGGTTAGGCTGCCTGAAACAGACACAAAAATGTGAGACAAATTCAAAAACAACTTCTTAAAAAAATTGAAACAGAAATAATTACCAAGCCTTAAGGCGGTTTTCCTTATATACATTCATCTCGTTAATCTCTAAAGTTTCAGGTCTCCCTTTAGCGCTTTATCTCTTCTTTTGTGGAGCGCAAGTGGGACAGTTGCTAAGAACTGTTTGCCATCCAGCACCACACCTATGCATCTCTTGTTGTCCTACCCATTGTTCAAGATGGGCTTAGACAGGTGGGATCAGCATCCACTAAGTGCTCTAAGACTAGAACACACCACCCTGCATTAAACTCAGTGCAGCAAACCTTGTTGCACAGATAAAATGAAAACATGCAGGTAGAAATGCCATAGCTTGAGTTCGAAAGATTTTATCTGCTCCTTTCATTGCTGCTTGATGCTTAGGAGTAGTTTTACTGCACCATACATTTTACTTTTACTTAAGTAATAAAGCTACTCTTTTATTTAAGATTTGTTTTATTAACAGAAGCTTTTACAATATATTCACAATGTATAGCAACCATTTACAGTTACGCTCAAAGGTGTATATTATAAAGCAAATTTACTGATATATAGTCATACAGACAAGCCATACAAGGAAGATGATTTTTTGATTTTTTTTAACATCAAAAGAAAAAAAAAGGACAAATAAAAACAAAGCAAAACAAAATATTACAAATTTTTCTCATCTCGCTTTTCACCCTTTTTTTTAAGACATAATGCTTCAGACGACACACGGGTATTGTGTCAAAACGAGTCTTCTCTTGTCTTCTGCACAAGCGTACTTTATATCTGGTGAACTTACTGTTACATTTGGAGGTCAAGCTAGGAAAAATTTTTGTCACTGAAGGTACTTCTATAAGATTATGTTTAAAAGGTTAGGATTAAAATTCTTAAATTAAGATTATGTTCCCCACTGCCATTAGACTGCTGAATGTTATGTAAAAGGGGTATTTTGTTTATAAAAATGAAAAAATAAAAAATATATATGTTAGAACTGTAAATACAGTCATATGTTTATATTACTATATATTTTTTTATGTATTTATTACTGTTTTCAAGACTGCACTTTAAAAAAAAGAAATTGTCTAGAGCTGCTTTAAACGAAATTTCTTTTGGTATACACTCATGTATACAAAATGACAAAATAAATCTGTCTAAGTCTCTCTCTAAGTCTAAAAGAAGATCGGTTTGGAAAACTGCTTCTTCTGCCATGATTTCTTATTGTTCACTCACATCATTTATTTGTTTCAAATATTTTATTATAGTCTTTAATATACCAGAAAAATTCAATATACCAGAAAACTTTACATCTTGGTCTATCATTACATCATTTTAAATATTAACTCAGATGTTGTGACTTACTCAGTGCTTAAGTAGCATTTTTACTCTAAGGCTGCTTCATTTAAGATGTGTAGCTATATATAGTTAAATATATAGTTAAAATATATAAGAAGCAGTGCTCCCCCTAATTGAGTACAATTTCTGGGTACTCTACCCAACTCTGATCATACATGTAATTTGATATACTGCCAACCTTGCTCTTACACTGAGTTAAGGTACATCTGTACACCCATCTAGTGGTTATTAGAGCAACTGTCCCCCTGAAAATATTTTATTGGTCAAGTTTTTCAATTTTTAATTTGGAACAAATCCAGACACATTTTTATGTTCTCTCTGACAACACAATGAGAATAAAGAGACTTTTTAAGAAAAGTTTTTAAAAAATATTTTGTATCACGTAAGGCAAAAGTTAACAAAATTAATTTCATACTTCAGAACAACGTGGAAACTGTACTCTTTTATTTTTGCTTAAGTAAGGGAGCTTAGCTGGTACTTTTACTTTTACCAGAGTCTTTTTTACACAGGTATCTGTATTTTTAGTGAAGTAAAGAATGTCAGTACGAAAGTAGAAAGTAGAAAAGGTGTAGTTTCCGATAATTGGAAAAGGGCGACCATCTTCCAACTAAATAAGCGAGGGAAAGACTCATCAGACCCGAACAATTACAGACCAATAGCATTGACATTTCACTTGTATAAATGGATGGATAAAATATTAGTAAAGAGATTGAAGTTTATATTAGAGGAGAGGAAGCTAATCAGTAACTATCAATGTAGATTCTGAGCAGGTAGGTCAATGATGGATGCATTGGTGAGAGTTAGTAATGATATAGAAAACGGATTAAAAATGAGAGAATTGATATTCGCAGTAATTTTCTACATAGAACAAGCATAAGACTCAATGTAGTAGGAAGGTTTACTGATTAAGAAATTATGGGAAAAGGTGGGAGAATGTACAATTGGATAACAATTTTCTTTACTAACAGGAAAATAAGAGTTAAAGTTGGGGTTGAATATTCAAGAATTTAAAGTAGAAAACTACATTCCTTAGGGGACTGAAATTAGTCCTGTACTATTTAATATATCTGATTAATTATATATTTTCAAACCTCAATAAATGCATTAATTCAGCAATTTATGCAGATGATGGAGCCATATGGATGGGGGGAAGGAATATCTTGCATGTAGTAAGAAATACAAAGAGAGCAGTTGATAAAATGGTCATATGATTGGGGATTCAAAATGTCAGTTAGTAAATCTTTTTTATATGATTTTCACTGTTAAAAGAAATATTTATATGGGAGAAATAAAATGATCAGCCTATAAAAAGAGTAACAGAATTCAAATATTTAGGGTTATGGCTAGATAGTTCATATACATGGAAAATTCGTAATAACCAGTTAGTCAAGCTAACACAATGAATCTCAATAGTAATGATGCATTGAGCACTTTCAAAGTAAACTTTAACGATTAAGTGATGGAATTAGTAAATGTCTTTTTCGGTCTTCTGAGATATCAAATATTTTACTGTTTATTTTTGACCATGTGAATATGTTTTCAAAGCCCTTCAAAATCTCTCTTTTTAGCCACTGTTTGTTTTCAGTGATTAGTTTTACTTCAGGATTACAATAGAAACACCTCCAGATGTTAGGTTTTAAATTTAGACCACATCTGATTTGGAATTTCAAAATTAAATCCGCTCAGACTCTCCTTTTATGGTTACTTTAAACAAATTTTCCAGCAATGTTGCTAATAAACTGTTTGTTCTTAATGAATAATTTCGCCTTAGGATGGTAGCAGAAAACCTCCAGATGCTGCTCAAATTTCCCCTCAATATGATATGGAATTTTGAAAATGAAAGCCCTCCATAATCTAATTTTGTTAGTCTCTTTTACTGAAGTGGTAGTAATAAATCTCATGAAAGTTGTAGCTGGGAATGAGGAGGAGAAAGATAAGCAGTCAATACTAAATATTTACAGGGCTCCTATGATTATGATTATAGATTATGGATGTATGGTATATAGTGCAGCAGTATGATCAACATTACAAACAACAGATAAGTTGCAATATAAAGCATTACAAATAGCAACTGAAGCAACTAATACTACCCCCATCAATGCTCTGTTAATAGAGTCTGGAGAGACTCCTTTAGAAATTAGATGAGTCAAAATATTACTTTATTAGTGGATCAGAACTAAAAGAAGTAGTAAAGATAACCAAGCAGCGAGCATAATAAAGAACTGTTGGGAATAATCCAAATTCAAAAGAAATTGCTTTGGCTGGACAGGAAATGAATGGGCAAAAATATTTCAGATGATAAGACATTCTCTAAAAAAAATAGCCCAATTAGTTCAGTGCCACCATGGTTGTTTTCTAGAAACAAACAACTCGACTTAAAAAAAGAGAAGGGAAACATAACAAAGGTGGGGTTAAAACTAGCTTATATATTACAGAATTGTATTATAGTTATTTAAAAATGTACATAGATGGTTCAAAAATGTAAATGGAAACATGGGAATACGGATATACATTCTAGAGTTTAATATATGTATTTGTAAAAGATTATCAGACCTTCTGTCTGTATTCACAGTAGAAATTATTAGTTTAAAGTGAGTGGAAGAGGTTTGACTGGACAGGGTGGCGATATGCACAGATTCAAAGGCAACAATAGAAAGCATTCATACAGACGGAAACTATAGGAAATACCTTGTCTCAGATATTCATCAGAGTTTATTCAGGTTATTTAGATGTGGAATAGACATTCAGTTCTAGTGGAAGGTAAATCAATAATTATAAAGAACAAAAAACATAAAGATGGCAAAAAAAATATGGGAGGAAGATAAGAAAGGAAGAAGATTATATTGAGTCAACATTAAATCTGTAAAATTAAAAACTAGACTTAGACTTAGGCAGATTTATTTTGTCATTTTGTATACACGAGTTTAACTAAAAGAAATTTGGTTTAAAACAGCTCTAGACTATTTAATTTCATTTAAAAACTATGGACATAGAAGCAGAAGGGAAGATATCCTTTCCAATAGACTAAGAATTGGACATACATACTTTGTTTATTCTTAGGAAGTGATAATGGGAAAATGTAGAACATGTTTTGATGCATTTCTATGAATATGCAAAAGAAAGAAAGAGGATGAGGGAAATAATTAGGGAAAATGGTAAACAATGGATTATTAAAGGAATATTATGGACAGATGGACATGGAGAGGAAATTAGGGTAATTAATAAAGCGTTCTATTTATTTGTACACAACACAAAATAAAACAAAAATATAATATAGCGCGTGGAACCTGTATCTACACACTGTTGTCGGTAGGTGGCGGTATACACCTGTCAGTTGCTTGCAATCCGCCTACAAAAGGAAAGAAGAAGAAGCAAAGGCGGTTTACTTAAAAACATCATGGCTTCCAGAAGAACGTCTTCAGCTCCAAGTAGCTTCAAAAACACTTCCACTGACGCTAAAAGGTATTTATTTGGGTTTAGTTGCTTTATCTTAACTCAGTGTTCTGACAATGCGGATTAATTGACATTTTAATTTATCGTTCAATTTAGCTTAGTCGTATGGTAGCTAGATAAACAGCCGATTAGCTGTAGCTATATTTTGTCATTTTGGAAAGCAAACATAGATTTCATTAGTTTTGCCTTAAACTTACTAGTTTTAATGCAAACTTTAATGTTGTCTTTAGTTCGAAAGGTGTCAGTAATGGAGTTAAAGCAAACAACAATCCAACTACGAGGAAAACTGTTAAAAGTAAGTATGTGCCCATTAAATTCCTAGTTTATATTGTTTTTGGCACATTCTAGCAGCCGGTATCAGGTGTAGTGGATGGGAGACTACGGGACTATGGGTCAAGCCTGTCCTAACTTTATTATTATTTATTTTTTCAAGTCAAGCTAACACCATGAATCCCAATAGTAAGGATTTATTTGGCCATTCAAAGTAAATGCAGCATTTTAACGATTAATTAATGGATTTACTAATTGTCGTTTTTGCTCTCCTGGTATATTGAATATTTTACTATTTATTTTTTGACCACGTGAATACCTCTCGTTTGTTTTCACTGTTTAATTTTACTTCAGGATGACCACAGAAACCGCTCCAAAATTCATTAAGATCTGAAGTGGAACTTCATAATTAAAGCCTCTGATATTCTCTATTATTACTTGTTACTGTTATCTATTTTTCCTATAGGTGTTTCTACAAAAGTATTTGTATTTGTTGCACTTAACAAGAAATTAAACTACATCTGATATGGAATTTCGAAATTAAATCCCCTCAGACTGTCATTTTAAGGTTACTTTTCTGTCAAACTGTTTCTTTTTGATGACTAATTTCACCTTAGGATGGCAGTAGAACACCTCCAGATGCTGCTTAAATTTCACCCCAATCTAATGAGGAATTTTGAAAATTAAAGCCCTCCATAATCTAATTTTCTTAGTCTCTTAGTGGCTGTCATTTTCACAAACTCATCTTTCTCCTCCTTTTAGTAGTGTATTTGTATATTTTCCCCATTTATGTCCATCTCTCTCTCACAGCGCATTACTTAAATAGTTTGGATAGTTATAAATGTCATGTAACTTAAGGATGCTATAAATAAAACTTCTCAATGCACAGGTAATTTGCTTAAAGGATCCTTTGTTGACATGAGTTAAAGTTGTCCTTCTTTTCTTCATTAATTTGTAGCAAGTGGGACTGTTGTCAAGTCTCGATATTTACAATCTGCTGAAAAGACATCACTGTCAAAGGTAATGTGATTCTTTTTTTGTTTTGTTTTTTCTTGAGGCTTTTTTTTTACCTAGCTATTTGTTTTATGTTCTCTACAGTATAGTAGCAGCCTGATATATTCTCCTTTAGGCTTGATTGTCTTGGTGTTTGTCTCTTTCTACTTTTCATTGTTGAACCCTGTGCTACTTTTAAAGAGTAACTCGCTGACCAATGAGTCGACTTCTGTGCTTCGACCTTCCTCACCCAAACCCACCTCTGTCAAACCAAAAGCAGTCACTCCAACAAGGCGCTCAATGACCCCACAGACACTGGCAGAATGTAAGTACTTCTAATCAGGATTGTATTGTTTCAAGATTTTTTTTTAAATTGTATTTTGATACATCATCTTGTACACCCTAATGGTGCTTTCACACTGAAAGTGATTCCAGAGACAAAGGCTACGTTCATACTGCAGCCTGAAGTGACCCAAATCTGATTTTTCTTTTGGCCTCTATCTGATCTGATTTGACCTGTATCTGATCTTTTCATGGCTGTCTGAACAACACAGATCCGATTATTTTATTTTTTTCCAATGTGACCCAGGCCACTTGGCTATGTGGTCCTGAATCCGATATGCATCTCATCTTTTCCAATGCGACCTGTGTCTGTACAGCCAGGGCGCATTCATCTGAACTGAACGCCATTAAAACTCAACAAAGGTCACTATTCTGGGTCTTGCTATGAAAAAGGGGCAAGAAAAACAACAGCCATGGCAGGCGATGATGCAGAGAACAGTATTTGTGTTTAACCATCTTGAAAAGATTGTGTTTTTATGGTTGGGGAAAGATCGCTAGATGCTCACCTGACTAGTTTTCTTGATGCATCTAGACAGAAAACTTAAGATTCTTATCCAGCACCAAAATCATCTGTCACTTTAGTAAAAGCCCAATTGTCTCCTGAGCGGGCCTTTACAATCGCTCCGGTTCGGTGTAAATGCACCATTATGGTAATGATTTCTTCTGCGAATCTGGTCCTGTTGGGGGTTTTCAACCTTTAAAAAAAAATGATGTCAGATCAAAATAACTTTTAGTTATATTGTTTTCTTTTATTTAAAGCCACCTTTTCACGTGAAACTGAATCCTCCCTCCTTGGTAAAAGTGTCCTGCAGTCCACTTTTACCGATGGCCACGCTTTTCGACCAGATTTTGATATTTCAGTCATTAAAGGTATGTGAAACCTTAAACTTGCTTTCCGAAATAACTGTGAATTAATCATTTTCTTTTAACCATCTTTCAAAGAAAAAACTGTAATTGAGAATTCAAAGGACGCTGAGAGAAATCCTGAGAATAACAAGAGGATTATAGAAATGCAAACATTTCTACTCGCCTATCTTACAGCAAAGGTAAGACTGGTTAGCACTGTGTGATTCACACTGTGCGTTTCTATTGCGTTCAGCTGGCCTATATTAATGTAGATAAAACACAAACATTTGTGTTATGTTCTCTTGAAAAAGGAATACTTTTAAAAGAAATGAAAATATGCGAAAATTTTGTTTATTAGATGGAGAATAATACTGCAAAATTCAAAGCCGAAGCAGAGGCAAAGCTCCTTCAAATTATGACGGAGGAACAGAGACTGCATAGTAGTGTTAATGAGAAGAAGAGCCAATATCTTCTGATGGAGAAGAAAAAACAGTTGCATGAGATCTTGGACCTGCAGGTAAGTGCATTGGTAGCAAGAAGTTATTTATTTGCATATTATTGACTTTGTCTTTGTTTTTTTGTTTTTTTAATACATAAAAAAAGCTTTAGGATTTGAGCAAGATGCGCAGAAGTCAGAGGAATAAGTAACCAAAAACTGGAAATTTATTTTCCAATATTCCTTGGTGGTTATTTATTTTTTTTTTTTATCCTCTTAATTAAACTCATAACTAAGACCTCTTACCTTAGGGCCTTACATCAATCAACATTGTCTAGTTTTTCTATTTATTTTTTTTTTTTATCGATGCTATAGAAAAAAGCTTTGATGCATTGATGTGGATAACCTTGTAATTCTTTCTCATTAGAAAAGCTTTTTAGAAAATAGAAATTGACAAGTCAGACCACAAATAAAACGCAATATCCAAACTGACTGGGAAAAACCTGACGGATGCCTCTGTAGTTCCTTCTTGAGTGATTGGTACCATTTACGTATGTTTAAAAGGAAAAAAAGATGTTTTGAAATTTGAATTTGGAAGTGATTGGTTTGTGGGTAGGGTAAAAAGATCGCATCATGCAAGGATGATCCCAGAGCAAAGCTATCTCAACAAATATTAGTTATTTATATATATTTGAAAAGGTTGGGTGACTGGATGTATATACCGACCGATGAACCCCCCCCCCCTTTTTTTTTTTGTTTTTTTTTTTTTTTTTGTACCTACAGGTTAAGATGCAGCCCACGGCAAAACTTAAATGCTGTTTTTAATGGTACACACAAACTCCTTGCAGATGTAGCTTTTTTTCCCCATACGTAGCGATTATCTACTTAAAATAGAGACTGAACTGATCCAAACCAGAGACTATTCTTTTTTTTTTTTCTTTTAAACATCCAAACCAAAATATTTACAGGGAACTCTTCTGTTACAAAGTTTGTTTTTTAATACAACAAATACAAAATTAAACAAGAAAAATTAAAAAAGGAAACGTCTGTCATCAAGTGATTGGAATGCATTGAAAAGAACATAATGTATAATTCACTAACAGTATTGGTTATCACTAGATCATATTTCTGTAAATTGAGTAAAGCAATGTTTGTTTGTATAAATATCATTAGTTAACATTTAACTGATGGGACTTTTTTCCCTCTCAGATTGATAAGCTGACACCTGTGGCCGACGCAGCCAACCAGTTTACAAAGGATTATAAGAGTTTTGCTGCTGCCGTTGACACCACCCGTCATGAGCTGCCTGTCAAGAACTTCTACATAAATGGGAATGGAAGAGAATTTCTAGGTTATAACAATGTTTGAAACTAAGAAGTTATACAGGACATTCCATACTACATCCACTGTAGTTTTACTTCAAACATAAATAAGCTTCTTTTTAAATACCGTATTTTCACGACCATAAGGCGCACCGTACTAAAAGGCGCACTCTCAGTTATGTGTCCCATTTCTGTATTTAACACACACATAAGGCGCACCGGACTATAGGGCGCGTTTTTTATATACAGGTACAAGTCCTCTACTACCTTTAAATACCTCTACTGCGTTTTTAAAAATACAGCGGGGGCAAAACTGAGTATGACTGTGCTTTATTCATGTATTTATTACAAAGTATTAATCAAACCTGGGTGCTGGTCGTGAGACAGACACATCGAAGATGACACAGTGCTGTGATCACTCCTAAATTAACTTAAAATCCTGAAACCTGCCGACGGAATATGTTCGCTTTTATTACCGGTATCCTGGTGCCTGCAGTTTAAATTATTTAGATGAAAAACACCTGCCAGCCACTGCATGAACCTGGAGGCTGCCCAGCCTAGAGGCTGCTGATGAAAGGATTTCTACTGTCGGTGCACCGCTGGTATGTGGGGGTCTGAGCGCCTCCGACAGAAATAGATAATCTGGATGAACTGACTGCAATTATTAAGTTTTCAGGTGGACTTTCTCACTTAAAAACATATTAAAACTACTTTATTCCCACTGATCACAGCAAATATAGCTGCAAGATTTAGATTATTTAGATGAAAAAACACCTGCCAGCCACCGCGCTGAAGAGGAGGAGACCCGCCCACAGGCTGCTGTTGAATTAAGTTTTCAGGTAGAAAAATAGAGCGGGAGCAAAACTGAGTATGATTGTGCTTTATTCATGTATTTATTACAAAGTATTAATCAAACCCATCAAAGTCATCATCCTTCTGAATTAAACAGCTGCGCTAAATCAGACATGCCAATTTCCCTTTCTTCGCTGTCAGAGTCACTTTCCGTGCAGCGCAGCTCCTCAGAAATAATGCCGGCTTTTGCAAAAGCTTGAAGAACAGAGCCAGCAGACACAGTCCATCTACAATCCATCCGCAAACGGTGGCGTAACTTGCCCGGCGCTGCCTTCCACTTATCCTGAAACTGTGGTCTCCGTCTGTCACCCATCGCTCCCCACGCCGCTCGCAGCCTTACTTTGAACGGCCGCTTCACACCGATGTCGAGCGGTTGAAGTTCCTTTGTCAGACCCCCGGGATAACGGCGAGCACAGCGTTCATTTGATTCATCTTTTTTTCACATCGGCTGTGAGATGGGCATGCAGCGATGGTGATGCGTGGAAAAAAGCACCTGGTCTCCTCACATACACCTGTCTTTCATCATCTCCTCATCCATCCAGCCTTTTTCATTTAATATCATATGTCATCAGAGCGCTGTGTCTGTCTCGCTGTCAGCTCCCAGATCAGCTTCTCTGATTGGTTGATGCGGCGCGTCCAGCAGCAAAACTTCAAATTTTCCATCTCGAGCAGCAGCAGCGCGTTGGCGGTGCGTCAGATGCTTAAACGCTTCCCGACGTGCTGCACCTGCTGCTGCGGGACCTTTTGCTGCACCTATACGCGCGTCAACCATTGACTTTGCATGTAAACTCGCTGCTTCTGCTGCACCTGCTGGGTCCGGTTCACACTGATGTCGAGCGGTTGAACAGCGAGCACAGCGTTAATTTGTTTCCCCATGTTTTTCACATCAGCTGTGAGATGGGCACGCATGGAGTTACAGATTAATGGTGATGAGTGGAAAAAAAACACCTGGTCTCCTTACATTCAGCCACTCTTTCATCATCTCCTCAATGAGGTGGTCTCAAAAGTCGCAGTTACAACACACATAGGGCGCACCGCACCATAGGGCGCACCGCACATTTTGAGGGGAAAAAAAGACGTTTAATTGCACCTTATAGTCGTGAAAATACGGTAACCTGATTTAACAATTATCCACCTTTTTTTGACAGGATCCTATGGAAGTCTTGATATTTACGTTAACTTTATCCCTGTTTTTAGATAAAGCTGAGGCTTCCCTGAAACAAACTGAGACGCTGTTGCAGGAATGCACACGGGGAGATCATGTGGACAACAGCACATCTTTAGAATGCCTCAGGGAAATGAAAACGATGTCAAAGGATATCAGTCAGCAGCTTACAGGGTTGGTACAATATAGGAAATGCTTTAGTACTTTGCAAGATAAGTGATACTTGAAATGTTTTCAGTTAATCAAAAACTTTACTTTGTTGTGATTTTTGTTTGTGTTATTTTTAAAAATTTTTTTTTTTTTTTTATGGTTTCAAGTGTTGAATGCAAATGTACCTTGTGCTTCGAGATTGCATTACATCAAAGTACATTTGATTTAAAGAAATTATCGGCCACTTTATCTTTGTTGGTCGCAGATCATGGAATAGGAACGCTGTCTACTTAATGATGCAGATAATGCTCAAAACACATAATTAAAAAATATTGTTTAATTACCAGCTGATCATATATAAGGGAAAAAAAGGGATGTAATGCAATGCATTTTTCCACTTTATATAGAATGGTATAAATTTCAAATCGCAATGTCTCACTTATAATAATAATAATAATAAAAAAAAAAAACTCTAGACCTATATTTTCCAAAGTAATGAATAATTTTGGGCTTAACAGTATCGGCTTTATGTTGGAACCAAAGATATGCGTTTGCTGTGGACAAGTACTCAAATTTCAGATTTTTTATTTTTTTTTCTTTTTCCCAAGAACGTGTTCGGAGCTTTTAGAGCTCTCATCATTGGTCTGTCGTCATTCAGTCCAAGTTCAGCAGGCCGTCGAGGAAGAGCAACTTGGGAGTTCAAGAACCCTTCAGCTATTCTGCCCCAGAGACTAAAGAAAACTGGACAGCATGGCAACAGGGCTATGGTTTTTTAGTGTACTTTTTTCTCATTTGTATATGTTAAAACACCTAATCAATAAATGAAATCAATGAAATGACATGATTCCATGACTGACTTAATAATAAAACGGTTTTATAATCATGAGATGCCATATGGTATGTAAACTGAGTCTGTATTTCAATAGGAATGTAATTTGTGTCTGAAATGTTGACACTTATTTCAAAGGCTTCTTTAACATGCTGCTTCCACCTTAGAATGCGTTTATGATTACACTGATTACTTGTGGCTTGGTGCTTTTGCAACCATAAACAAACTTGCGTAATATTGAAATAATTAGAAATTTGATCAATCCATTACAGCTAGTCTAATTTGTGATATCAAAATGTGATCAAAAATGGGATGAAATAATTTGGGTGTAACAATTTATAAGGATCCTTTTGATAGGAAGTAAAGAACATTCAACCTATAATGTGGGGGGGGGATCTTTAAGGCTTCAAAGAAATATTTTCGCAGAAGGGATGTCGAGTCTAATTTATCCAGCATACACTTTAAATATACTAAACAGTACAATTTATAAAAAAAAAAAAGGAATCAAGCAGCTTCATTAGTTTTGTCTGGCTTAATAAACGGCATTTGATCAGAACGGTTGATAAGGTAAACCAGTAGCAGTGGGAGGGATGCTGTAATGACTGCAGATGCTTATAAAAAATGAAAATAGTTTGCCTTCACAGCTTTTTCAATGTTTTTTAAGTTAAATTTCTGTTTAGATGTGACTTTGGTCCTTCAAAGTTGCTAATTAAGTTGTTAGATTACCACACGTATGTATTAATATGTTGGAAAATGCTAAATACAATTTTACTCCACATAATGATTTGAGATAACATATTCTACAAAAAAAGAAAATTATACTATAAGTACTGCGAGGAAAATGGTTTGTGGGCGTTTGTGCGAATAATGGATAAAAAGGGTGACATTTATGTTACACAGTTTTTAAAAGCAAATATAATTTAGACTGTCCACAGAAACATTTTCTGTTTGCGGTCTAGGCAATTCTTTTGGCAATGTTAAGGAATGCTTCGGTATTCTGATATAGTGCCTGTGTTTCCAACTCTGTATTGATAAATAAAAATGTAACAATAAAATGTTAAAAGAACATATGAACAACCATGTAAAATGAAATTTCATGTTTTCAGAAATTGATGTCCTTACAATTAGAACCAGATTTTTTCTCATTTCCTTTTTTTTTTTACCAAAGATAAGAGAAGTTTACTTAAAAAGAAATTACCGGTACATTTATCCATTGGAGTTTTTAAGGTTTGTGTTCGATAGTAATGGATGTAACTCAAAAAGACATATAAACTCAGGAATGTCTTTCTAAAGTTGTAAGATTAAGTCCTTTTGGAGAGAATTTACAAATGATTATCAAAAAAAAAAAAATGTAGCTAAGACTGAATGTAGTGATTTTAAATTTGAGATTTCTTCTCTAAACAAAGATGTGGAACTAATTTTTGGTAAATTTTAAATATACAGTGTTTGAATTTTTAAGGTTGCTTTAAACTTTCAGGCATTCCACAGTGGTTTGAAATATCTTTATTGCTTGATAAAAACTGCCTTAAGGATCTCAGAAATGTTAATATTATATGACTTATCCCGTGTGGGCTTGGTTCATTAGACATTAGACTTAGATTTATTTGATCATTTTGTATACACGATTGTAAACAAAAACAAATTTTGTTTAAAACAGCTCTAGACAATTTCATTTTTTAAAGTGCAGCCTTGAAAACAGTAATAAATACATAAAAATAGTAATATAAACATATGATTGTATATTTACAGTTCTAACATTAATTATTTTTCGTTCATCATCATTTTATTATTATTGTAACCAATTTATGTGGTATGTTACTCATGTCTTTTTTTTTTTCATTTCATTTTATTTTATTTTTTTCATATCAGATTCTTTCTTTTCCCTAGTTTGTAACGTTGAAACTGTTCACTAAGAGTTAAAATAAAACACATCTTTCCCGGATGTGACGTTTTACCAGCTTTTATTTTGTGCATGTTTCCCGGACGTGACGTCTTACCTGCTATGTTTTCATTGGACGCCAACGGAAAGTGACAATATTAACATTTACCGATGAACCGCAGGAGAAACAAGCGTGTGTAAGTGCACATATTTATTTTTCCGCTTTTACTCAGGCATCTTGTTTAATATAAGTTTGGAAAATATGTTTTTAATACACCGTGGTTTAAACAAATGTTTCTACATATTGCTTTGTTTAGATTTTATTCTCACCCTGAAATTGTTAGCAAGCTAACTGTCCTCTAGAAGCTATTTTTGAGGTACCTGTCTGTCTCCAAAATGGAAATTGGGACAAATTACACTCAGACTTCGATAAAGAGAAAAAAAAAAAAAAATTTGGGAATCACACAGTCCTTATGTGTAAAATGTTAGCCTCTTAGTTTTACCATGCCCAACTAAAACAACAGATACATATATTTCTCTGTTTGAATTGCAAATGTAAAAGGAGTAAGACCCTCACTGATGAACTGATTGAATTACTATTCTATGCATACCAACTTAGGAAAAGAAATCGCTTTTTTTTATACAAAAACTGTTTTAACTACTCAACAACTAATGGAAGTGTTTTTCTTCCACAGCTCTTACTCACAGAACTGGAATGCACCATCAGGTGGACAGAGGGGGAAACAGAGATGTCAAAGTGGAAGCAAACCCCAAAAGAAAGGGGTAGAACAAGAAGAGCAGGACTTTGGAAAAGGAGGAAAGGAAGTGGTTCCTAGAGGGACTTGTCCAACCATGTGCCCTCATAAGGAACTGTTGAACCGTGAGTCTCAGAACCGGCTTCACCGTTTCGAAGTGGTCCCAGGAACAGAGAAGTCTGCAAAGCCAAGGGGAGATCCCCTGCGTGCCGTCAAAGAATATTCTAGACCAGCAGCAGGGAAAGATGTGACAAAGCCCTCTGACCTGCGACCACCTGATGTGTTGCTGAAGACTGTTTTCTATCTCATTGATGAGCTTGCAGGGTCACCTAGTCTGCAGCCATGGACTGAGGTAAGCGGGGCTCCCGGACTTTGGGTTTTTGGGCTCATGTCTTTTTTTAAATGTTGCTGTTAAGATATTTATAATATAAGGGAGAAAAGTTGCTGAATAATTAAATCCAATTTACTTAAACGTTTGGTAAATTATATGTTGCAGTGCTATGCAGAAAATGCATATGACCTGATCTCGCATTGAAACCACAAACTTATAATGGCTTCATTTGGAGTTTAGCTAAAAGCATGACATAATTTTCAAATGGAATAAAATTGTTACACATTTTGTATTTTTTCCCCCCTGAAAACAAATCTGAAGGTTTGATGTGCATTTGCCTTAATTCCCATTACATTTAACACATCTAAATAAATCCAGACACAACCAATTCCCACCATAAATTGATTAATTAATTCAGTTGAACTTTGTTCAATTTAATCCTAGCAGTAGCGCTGCTCTGCTGTGAAGGGTTTTAAGGTGTGCTGGAAAACAAAGATCACCACGAGAAACACCTTGGTCAATAAAACAGCAAAGAAGCTTATGCTAACACTGATATAACTGCAGCGCGACAGCTCATGTGCTAGAGTCGTTAGAGAGACTGTTGAAGGGCAGCCATGATGACTTCTAGGTTTTAACAAATAATTTAGCAAGATCAAAGCAAACTAATGGAAGAAGCTGCTTTGAACTGCAATTGACAAAATTGTAAATTACTCAAACACTGTGTCTGAATGCATTACTAATTTGGCTTAGTTGTTGGCATATTTTTGTTATTGTCAGTTTTATGTATCTGGGTTATTTATTTTGAATCTATTTGACATCTTTGATTCTATTGAGAAAGCATGTCCATGATGAGATTGATAAAGGTATGTTTTTCCAGTTAAAATAATCTTTTTTTTTTTTTAATGGTTGAAATTATTATTATTATTTTGTTTTTTTCCCAATGGTACGGAGTATGGAATATTTTCTTTCATAACAGTGTTAAGTTTCAAACCTTAGTATTCCTGATTCCTGACAAGCCTACCTTGAACAGAAGAGAACTCGTGCAGAATGTTATGGATGCGAGAAAGCTAATATCGCACCACATGTGGCAGACCAAGCTATGGGAATGCTTGTGATGGAATCCTAAATCCTACTCAACCACAGGCAAAAGTAAAGTTCATGAGGTAGCATAGTTGTGACTGGGGTTAAAATTCACCTTTCAGCAGTACAAAGCCCCAAACATTCAGCAAGAAGTGCGATGGAGGGGTCGGCAACCCCAAATGTTCAAATAGCCATATTGGACCGAAGAAATGAAATGACAAATCTGTCTGAAACCGCAAAAATGTAATAGTCTTATACTGTATAAGCCTCATATGGCAACACGTACAACTAAGTGTATTAGCCCACTATGAAAATGGACTACCTGGGCTTAAATGTATAGTAGGTATTCATGATTAAATGTTTATCCTGGAGCAAATGTCACATCATGTGACTACTCTGCTGTAAAGGTTTTGTTGCATTGATGAAATTATAGAAAGACAATAAAGTAATCATATTTTTGGTGTTATTCTTATTATGAGGATTTGGGAAAAAATGGACGAAGTTCACATACCTGCATCAGAGCGCTACCTTTTCGATCTGTGGACGGCTTTCCATGCTTGAAACAAACTAGTGGAGTTTGGAGATGTGATCCACTTCTTAAATCTTTGCGCTCCTCTAATTTACCAAAAAGTACTGAAATTGGACCTTTACTCTCTCTCCCAACTTGGTGGTCGACTGCATATTTAGCATTTTTTCCCTGGAAATGCCTTTCCAAATTACTCTTCTACTCTATCCTTTCGCATTGGTAATGAAAGCAACTGATTCACTCAATTCTTCTTTGAATCCTCTGTTCTCATCAGCCATCTTCCTTTTTTCCCTTTTGGATCTCCTGCTTTGTATACAACAGCCACCATCCTGGCACCGTGCCATGCTGAAACGTGTGTTGCGGGTTATGACACAAATCTTCGTTGACAGAAATTTTTACATTTGTTTAAATGTATTTATTATTTACATTTTTACAACAT